GGTTACGAGTTGTACTCTCATCTTTTTTGACACATTAGAGACAACTCGGCCCAGGAAGAGGGATCATCTGGAGGTGCAGAGGTCTGCATCAGTTGCATCTGAGGACAAGGAGAATAGGACGTGAACGACAACAATGCTGAAGAGGGCGGCAAGATTGAATGCAGCGGTGGTCGGGGCATCATCTTCCTCGATTCCCATCATGCAGCGGGCTGCTGCGGCCAGAGCACTGCGATCATCGATGCGAGAGGAGGCCCTCTGCCTGTCCTCTACTTCGGTTCATGGAAATGGAAGGACGGAGGCCGACCGATTGAGGTTTTACTCAAGCGAGGTAAAGCTCCTCGCCTAATCCGCGCTCCTTGTTTCCACCTTCACACTCTGCAGAGGATGTCCCACCGCCCCAACGCATCTGGGCTCCACCTCTTTTTATCCATTTCTTCTCAACCTCAATCACCTCAGTCATTACACCTCCGCTTGAAAAGTGCGCGATCATCTCATCCCATCTCGATCCTCGGATTTATATTCAGAACGATACCACCACTGCCACTGTAAAGAGCGAAGAAGCGGCACCGCCACCAGTGGAAGAAGGAAAGGACGAGGAGCAGCAAGAAGTTGCTGCTCCTGCAACACCTGCCGAAGGTACAATCCAGCGAAATGCTTCGAATCCGATTGGCGCGCTGCAATGAGAGGGGGCACCTTTCTCACACGCAACCTGTGGTGCCTCTTTTCAGTGGAGCGAGCGCTCTTGCCTTCAGAGATTGTCAATGAGCTGGACAAATTCATCATCGGACAAGCAGAGGCCAAGAAAGCTGTGGCCATCGCACTCAGGAACCGTTGGCGGCGCCGACAGCTCTCGCCCGAGCTGGCCACCGAGATCATCCCCAAAAATATCCTCATGATCGGTACGCGCACCCTGCACAATGCACCGTGTGTGCCGCGCCGCGCCGCGCCATCCCCCTCTTCGCGTGCGTAGTTGTTGCTCATAATGTCGTCTCGCTGCTTCATGGCCAGGTCCTACTGGTGTGGGCAAGACTGAGATCGCGAGACGGCTGGCGAAGCTGGCGCAGGCGCCCTTCATCAAGGTGGAGGCCACCAAGTTCACGGAGGTGGGTTTCCACGGCCGCGACGTGGACATGATCATTCGGGACCTCGTCGACGTCGCCGTGCACGACTTCACGATGAAGGCGCGGGAGCAGGAGAAGCAGCGGGTCAAGCAGGAGGTGGAGGAGCGGCTGCTCGATATTCTGGCCGGCGCACAGGCGCAGGAGCGGACCAAGACCATGTTCCGCAAGATGCTCCAGAACGGCGAGCTCGAGGGGAAGCGGGTCGATTTTGAGGTGCCCCAGTCGACGCCCGCCACCCAGATGCCGTTCGGCTCGGAAATGGGCGCGCAGGGCGTCTTCGTGCAGCTCGACAAGATCTTTGGCGGCGCTAAGAAGCAGAAGAGGAAGATGACCATCGCCGAGTGCCGGTACTGTCACACACACGCGCGCACACACACGCACACACACGCACACACACACACACACACACACAACGTGGCCGTGGCCGATTGGTTGTGATGTTGTTGACGATGATGCGTGCACGCAGGCCCTACCTGGAGGAGCAGGAGGCGGAGAAGCTGATCAACAAGGACGCCATCGTCAAGAACGCGCTGGAGGCCGTGCAGAGCAACGGTATCGTCTTCATCGACGAGATCGACAAGATCTGCAAGGACAAGAACTCGTACGGCGCCGACGCCTCGTCCGAGGGCGTGCAGCGGGACCTGCTGCCGCTCATCGAGGGCACCACCATCAGCACCAAGTACGGCAACGTCGACACCTCCAAGATCCTCTTCGTCGCCTCGGGCGCCTTCCACTCGTGCAAGCCATCCGACCTGCTCGCTGAGCTGCAGGGCCGTCTGCCCATCCGCGTGCAGCTGAAGCCGCTCAAGAAGGGCGACTACTATCGCATCTTGACCGAGACCAAGTTCAACCAGATCGACCAGGCCAAGGCCCTGTTGCTGACCGAGGGCGTGGAGCTCGACTTCACCGACGACGCCATCCACGAGATCACCAAGCTCACGGCCGAGGTCAACGAGACGGTGGAGAACATCGGCGCGCGTCGCCTCCACACCGTCATGGAGCGGATCCTGGAGGAGGTCAGCTACGAGTGCACGCCGGGCAAGGTCACCATCGACGTGGCCGAGGTCAGGAAGCACCTCAGCGAGCTCCTCCTCAAGACGGATCTCAGCAGATACGTTTTGTAATTACCTCCAACAACCAACAACATCAACAGACAGGGCACCACGAGCTCCTCGAGAGTAAAGCGAAACACGGTTCTGTGTTGTAAAGAAAAGAGAGAGGAGGGCATATACATAGCACAAGCCAAGAAGGGAACGATGATGCAACACGATGGTGCTTGTTGTGTGCTGTAGGGTCACTCTCTGGCGCCTCCTGTCTGCAGAAGCATGACGTCGATCTGGTCCTGTGAGCGCAAGAGTAGAGAAGGAGAGATGGTAAGAAAGAGAAGAATGACAGATCCCAGGGCGAGATGTGGCGCGAGGCTGGAGCAGAGCACGTACACCGTCATTGATGTTGGCTTCGTTCAGAGTGCTTTCAAGATTGAGACGCTGTCCCTCCGGGCCAAGAAGCCGCACAGATTGCGGATTGATGCTCTTCTGCTTCGCCCAAGCATCCACCAGTCGCTTGATCTTCGTCTTTCCCTTTGCTCGGATTTCCACAACTCCCTGTTGCACGAGATCTGTATCAGTAAATTGGGGGGGGGGGGGATTATATCATCACTTCGATAGTGAACGTACTGAGCCGTCCTGGGGAGCCAATTTGACTGAAATCACAGCGTCCTCACCCTCTTCGCCGGGCGTGGCCTTCACAATATTGGACTTCCTATCTTCTCCTTCCATCTATCTCGATGTTGTTTGCGCGTTATGTTCGTGCGTTGGCCGCCAGCCAATTTTTTCTTCGTATTCAAGAAATAAACATCTCAGCGCTGTCGATCGATCACACAACGGCCGCAGCTGTGGAGGCGAGTTGCCAGCACAGCACGGCCTGGAGTGTGCACGCGTTTTTTTCCAGATCTGTCGCCATCGTCACCACCCTCATCCAGTGATCACTGGTTGGGGGTGTTTCGTGAAGGTGGAGGTGCGCTTCGTGGTGCTGGCCCACGCCGTGAGTCTCTGGCCTGCTGCTGTGCTCGCATGGTTGGCACGATGAAGAGTGCCGCGCCACCGGCCATGGCCGCCACCAACGCCACCACCTTCCATTCCACATCACAATTTGTAAGTCGAATTTAATAATCCTTGTACAAATGCTTACAAGTTCATACGTGGAAGCGGGGGGGGGGGCTCACCAGCTTCTTTTCCTTTGCTCCCATTCCCACCTCGTGCTCTGCTGTAGATCAGGCTCAACTTTTAATCTTTGTTTTCTTTGTCCTTTCTACGTATTTCTCATCACCGCAGCGTCATCGCCACAGCCGCGTTCGTCTCGAGCTCTGCACGAAGCGGTGTCTTCTTCCGCGCATTGCCTCCCCACACAACCGAACGCGAGAGCATGCGGTGTGCAAG